TTTTACATCCTGTCAAGCAATTTCAAAAATTATTCCAAAGCCAGTGGTGTATCCCTAAGCAAGACTAATTAAATAGAGCAAATAATCTGGACTAGTTCGTAGGGAATAGATCAGATGCGACCGCACTATCATTTTACTCCTGATCTTGACTTCTAGCAACAACCTTTAGTAAGATTGAGTGTTTAAATATCAAGAAAGTAGCTGGTATCTAAACAAGATACTCAACTGGAATCCTTCTAGTAGAAATATGAGCTATATAGTCTTTCCTCTAACTGCTACTTTCTCAACACTTAAGAATTATAACAAACAGAACACCCATTGCTTCGCGCTGCCCAGCAAGTTAAGTTTGGAAGAGTACCAAAAGGCTAACTGATGACAGCTTCTTAGCAGAAGCTGGGGGCAGTTTTCATTCTGATAGTACTTTCACAATCTACAGTTCCAGATGAATTAGCCACATGTTTGTGCCTACAAAGAGGAGACTACAACACACACACACACACACATATACAGACACACACACATACACATATTTGTATTTGAATTACTTTTTGTTGTTTTCATAAATTGTTATTTTAAAGAAATCAGAGGGTAATACTTTTTGTTATAAATACAGACCAAGTGTTACAGTATCTTTCATAATTTAAAAAGCACTGTTAATTCCAAATATTATGATAGAATCTATGGAATCCATAATACATTTCATTCTAGTCATATAACAACTAATTGTTTATTTTTTGTGTACCTTTGTAGATATTAATTTGTATTCAGGTGCTATGAATGGCAAAAGTATATTTTCCATATATTCTAAATTAGAACATGATTTTGGTATTTTTTAGTATTTTCTCATTCTTATGTCTCTTACTTTGGAAATATTTTCCATGCAGTGTGGTCCCTACTACTCTTTCTCTGGATACTTTTGTTTTTGTAAAAATTCAAAAAGTTGTATAATTGGGATCATAGTTATAATATTTCTGGTATGGAGAGATTGCTTTGTATAAAACACACAGCAATTTTATTAACTGGTGTGAGAATATGGTTATTTTAAAGCTATTTTTAAGGTACAATTTATAATTTTACATCATCCAACTTCAAATTCACTTTGCTGTTATTTTCCCTGGAGAAAATTTACCAAAATAATGTGTCAAAAAGCTTTTAAACCGTAGGTGATAGTTGCATAGATTTTCATTATACTATTTCTTTCTACTTTTGTATATGCTTACAAATTAACTTTTAAATTTAGAAAAACATAGTTTATGAAAACTTGCATTTAGTTGTAAAGTAATAATCACATTTGTTATTGATTTTATATATTAAAAACTTACATTTTATTATTTCAGAGAACAACATTTGTGAAATGTCATATTAAGGGAATGAAAACCAAAAACCACATGATCAGATGGGTGCGGTGGCTCACACCTGTAATCCTAGCACTTTGGGAGGCTAAGACAAGAGGATTACTTGAGCTCAGGAGTTCAAGACAAGCTGGGGCAACATAGTGAGACCTCGTCTCTGCAAAAAAATTAGCCAGGCATGGTAGCATGTGCCTGTAGTCTCAGCAACTCAGGATGCTGAGGTGGGAGGATTACTTGAGCTTGGGAGGTCAAGGCTGAACTGTGATCATGCTAGTGCACTCTAGCCTAGGCAACAGAGTGAAGCCCTGTCTCAAAAAATAAAAAAAAAAATTAAAAAAAAAAAGAGAGAGAGAGAGAAAACAAAAAACACGTGACTATCTCAACTGATGCAGAAAAAGAGTCTGACAAAGTTTAGCATCATTTCTTGATAGAAACTCTTTTAGCAGTTTAGAGAAAGAAAAGTCCTCAACATAATAAAGGCTATTTATGAAAAACCCACAGCTAACATCATAATTAATAGGGAACAACTGAAGGCTTTTCTACTAAGATCCAGTAAAAGGTAAGGATACCCACTCTCACCACTTCTCTTCAACATAGTACTGGAAGTACACACCACTTCTCTTCAACATAGTACTGGAAGTACTGGCAAGAGCAATCAGACAAGAAAAAGAAATAAAAGGCTTCCAAATTGGAAAAGAAGAAGTAAAATTATTTCTATTTGCAGATGACATGATCCTATATGTAGAAAACCCCAAAGGTTCCAAAAATAGTGTTAGAACTGATAAATTAATTCAGTAAAGTTGCAGGATACAAAACCAACATACAAAAATCAGTAGCATTTTATACACAAATAATAGCTGAAAAAGAAATCAAGAAAACAATGTCATTTGTGATAGCATCAAAAAATATACTGGAATAAATCTAACCAAATAGGTGAAAAATTTGTATACTGAAAACTATAAAATCTTGATGAAGGAAATTGAAAAAGACACAAATAAATGGAATATATAAATGAATGGAAAGATATCCTGTGAATGGAATTAATATTGTTAAAATGGCCATACTACTCAAAGCAATATACAAATTCAACATAATTCCTATCAAAATTCTAATGGCATTCTTCACAGAAATAGAAAAAACAATCTGTATTGAAAGGAAAAATAAAGTTGAAGGCATCACACTTCCTGATTTCAAATGATATTACAAAGCTGCAGTAATCAAAACAGTATGGTACTGGCATAAAAACACAAATATAGACTGATGGAACATAAAAGCCAAGAAATAAATCCAAACATATAGGGTCAACTAATTTTCTATAAGGGCACTAAGAGGACACAATGGGGAAAGGATAGTCTTCAATAATGATGCTGGGAAAAATGGATTCCCAAATGCAAAAGAGTGAAATCGGACCCTGATCTTACACACCATACACAAAAATCAATTCAAAATGGATAAGATACCTTAATGTAAGGCCTGAAACTAAAATTCCTAGAAGAGAACATAGGGTAAAAGCTCCTTGATATTAGCCTTGGAAATGATTTTTTTGAATATCAGACTAAAAACTCAGACTATAAAACCAAAAATAAATAAACAGGACTACATCAAACTAAAAGGCCTCTGCAGTGAAAAAACAACAAGAACAAATGAAAAGACAACGTACAGATTGGGAAAAAAATATTTGCAAACTGTCTGACTGATAAAGGGTTACTATAAAAAAGTTACAAATAATTCTAATAACTCAATAGCAGAAAAATGATTAACTTGATTAAAAAATGGGCAAAGGACCTTAGCAGATATTTCTCCAAAGAAGACATGAAATGGCCAACAGGTACACGAAAAAGTGCTCAACATCATTAATCATCAGGAAAACGCAAATTAAAACCACTAGACAATATCACTTCATAACCTTTAGGATGGCTATAATCAAAAAGAACAGAAATAACAAATGTTGACAGAAGTGTGGAGAAAAGGAAACCTTAGTACGTTGCTGGTGGGAATGTACATTGGAATAGTCAATATGGGAAACAGAATGGAGGTTCCTAAAGAAATTAAAAATAGAACCACCATATGACCCAGGAATCTCTATTATGGGTATATACTCAAAAAAAATGAAATCATCACCTCATAAAGATATCTATACTCCCATATTCATTGAAGCATTATTCACAATAGTGAAGAGATGGAAACAACTTCAGTGTTCATTGATGTATCAATGGATACAGAGAATGTCATATAGATCTGTCTATAACATGGAATATTATTCAGCCTTGAAAAAGGAGATCCTGCCATTAGCCACAACATGGATAGACCTGAAGAACGTTAAGTGAAATAAGCTGGACACATAAAGCAAAATATTACATGATCTCTCTTATGTATGGAATATTTTTTTAAATGTCTAATATATAGAGTTAGAGATAAAAGGATAAAACCGTGATTACTAGGGGCAGGAAACAAAAGGAGGAAATGTAGAGAAGTAGGTCAAAGAATTCAAAGTAGCACATAGGTAGGATTAACAAGTCTACAGATTTAATGTACAATATGAGGGCTGTAATTTATAAAATTGTATTATATTTGGGACTTTTGTTAAATAAGTAGATATTAGCTGCTCTCATCACCAAAGAAATAATTATGTGAGATGATAGATATGTTAGTTCAATACAATAACCATTTTATGTATTCTATGACATCATGTTATAAACCTCAAATATACACAATAAAATTTATTTTTAAAAAACATGGTTTATGGTTTAAGAGAATATTGGTCATAAAATTTTAATGTATGTTACATTGTTAAATATACTATAATTAAAATTTAACATAATTAGAAAAACATATTACCTAAAATGTATTAAATGTTAACATTTGTATTATTTGGTAAGTTTCTGTTGCGAATTAGGCCTACTCAAGGGGAAAGTCTCTTCCTTTGACGTCAATAACTGTTGGTATTTTTTATAATAGACAATTCTACCACTCATTATTTTAAATCTGACATTCCTCCTTAGGTTGAGTTTATTCCTAGATAATGCAGGCAACTGTGAATGAGTTATAGTCATTTAGCTCTGCTGTCAACTGTCTCAGTAATTAATGTGCTTAGTTTTATTTGAAAGATCATTTAGAAATGCTATTTCACGTTAAATGCCTTAGGGTTATGGTTTTTCTTTCTCACACAGATAGGCACGACTTCCATACAAGCTCAGGTAAAGAAGAAAGACATTGTGGCCCCTATACAATTTCCCAAAATTTCCCTCTTATTCACAAATGACAAATAGACCATTCATGTTTGAAGGGCATAGTGGATACACAGTAGTTTTAATGAAGCATATAAGGAAATACGATGAACTGAAAATACAGGAAATTTCAAGAGTCCTATTATCTGCTTTATTTTCTATATTATTTTCTGATAATTTCTTAAGTCGATAAGCTGTTGTACTATTTCATTATTTTCATTTGTAAATATGCCAGTGGAAAAGGCAACGCCTATTTCTAAGTCTTTCTTAGAATTATTTTTCCTCCCTTTGTTTGATTCATCTGAACCTATCACATGTTTAACATGTGCATGAAAAACACATTTTGTAAATGCTTTTCAAAGCTGTCCAAAGAATGTTTCCATCTAGTCACATTATCTTGTTTCTTGTTTTCAACATGCAGGGTGTGCTCTGTGCAACTCCCCTCATTTTTATCATTCCATCAGCCTGTTATCTGAAACTGTCTGAAGAACCAAGGACACACTCCGATAAGATTATGTCTTATGTCATGCTTCCCATTGGTGCTGCGGTGATGGTTTTTGGATTCGTCATGGCTATTACAAATCCTCAAGACTGCACCCACGGGCAGGAAATGTTCTACTGCTTTCCTGACAATTTCTCGCTCACAAATACCTCAGAGTCTCATATTCAGCAGACAACACAACTTTCTATTTTAAATATTAGTATCTTTCAATGAGTTGGCTGCTTAAAAAAATATGTATGTTTTCATAGACTTTAAAAAACATAACATTTACATGTTTTAGTCTGTCTTTATATTATATAAAATTGTTATTTTGGCATTTTTCAAGACTTGGCTTTCATGACTCTTTAGTGCAATATCAAAGATAAAAGAAAAATTGAATGTATTTCACCTTTAACTGGAACAAAATAAGTGTTTTGTTCTAATGACTGCACTACACTAATGCTGATTGAAGAAGGGAGAGTGAAGCCTTTAGCATTTTCCCCGTTTTATTTAATATGCAAACCAGTATATTGTGCTCCAAAATAAGTAGGCGATTGTGGGTTGGAATTTTGTGTAGATGTCTTTTGGTCGGGGGCGGGGGGCATTTTATTTGTCCTTAAAAATCTGTCGAACTGAAGAGAAGGGAAACCCACAACTATTGAAAAGAAGACATATCCCAAGAGCAAAGAGATCTCCATTATAATTTCAGCAGCATCCCTTATTTAAAGGGAAGTGGATCCCTGGAGAAATGAGCACAGACCTCTCCTTGTGAGGAAGCCTGAATCACAAACTGGCTGTGAGGAGCGAGGTGAGTGAAGAATCAGAATCACCTCCCATCTTCCGCTGCTGTGGGAATACAATGGTAGCACCATTCTAAAACAGAAAAAAAAAAAAAGCAGTTTTCTGTGGCAAGAACCTAAGAGACTGATGATATGGACCAGTTGAATTTTCAGTGCTGTCAGGAATATACAACGGGAAGCTGAACTTTGAAACTAGAAACGTGTAAGAAGAATCAGGGCTACCGAAGAAGCTTTCTCAGTCCACTGGGGGTTCCTCAGAGAGATTTCTGGGAGCTCTTGTTGACTGGGTCTTTGGGAGCAGATAGTGAGATGGAGTTTATCATAACTAATGGGAGAGAGGGGAAAGCAGGAATGGTAGGGAGAGGTAGAACTGCAATGCAGGCTGACCTCAGCCAACTCCACAGGGAAGCTGGTGCGTACATGACCCATCAGAGTTGTCCCTGTTCGGGGGTAATAACCCGGTTTTGATACGGCTGCCTCCATCAGTCATTGAATGTGAGCATCTGGAGAAGGGTGAGTTCTTGGGCTAGGCAGCTTTTTGCAGCAGAGCAAACCCTAAAGGAACTGAGAGCTGGAGGTGGTCTACTGATAGCTTCGTCACCACATGCTTCCTTACAGGGGTATCTGGGACACACAGCTGTGCCCACCACAGATGCCCTTGGTTTACTGATGATTTTTAAATGATTTTTTAATGAGGATTTTGTGTCTTTGTATCTATGACAGTCTTTAAAAAGTAACATGAAAATTTGGGGCCATCTGGATGGCTTCCTTATATAGAGTATCACCTAAGATTTCCATTTCATTTGTATTCCAATCAGGTTGTCCATCTGTGGCACTATATTAATTGTTATCAAATAACAAGAAACTATCACAAGCAGAGTTAATACATATATGATAAGTTCGTACAAATCAAATGCAAAAAAAAAAAAACCTACAGGAAGTGTATAAAGGGTAGGTTCATAGTAGTTTGAATAAAGTGGCAAGAGCTGAGTCACTGTGTGACTCATAGTGGGAAAGGCCTATTGAACACAGAGGAGGATGCATTTTAGCAGGTAGAACCATGCTCAGGGTTTTAGTGGTGATTTGTTTTTTCAATAAAATATTATCCTTGCCACTAAATTAATTTAAATTCTGTTGAGTAACTTTTCTGTATTTAACTTATAAATTTGTTTTTTATAGTTAAGGGTCATAGGCTAAGCAGTTTGTGCCTGTTTTTAGATTGGTACATGCTTAGGTAAAATATAATAAAAATGCTTTCATTCCATGTAAGAAATGAGGAAATGTAAGCAAGTTTTGCCACAGTCTGTCCTTACATTGCTCAAGACTGAGAAACACTGACCTACATAGTTATTAAATAAAGTCATGAGGGATGAGATCTCTAAACATGTACAAAGAAAAGTATGTCAAGGATAACATAATTTAGCACGTAACCATCTCTTATCTTGTACCTCAGTGTTGCTTCATACTCTTCAAGTAGATGAAAGCCCCTGGTAGGAAGGGAGCGCATCATTAGTACCTAATAAATATGTATTGGTTTATTTGTTTTTAATCAGCTGTAGAACAAGACTGCTTATGACCCAGTTATTAGCTGCATGAATTACCGACATCTTTCCAATTAGAATTGAATAAATCTTAGGAACTCACATTTATTTGGCAAGAATACTTGTATGCTTATTTTGCCATCATGCATAACTACAAGAACCCCACCCTCCCAATCTATTTTCTGCCTCAGTTCAATAAGAGATTCCCCTGAAAATCTTTCCATCCCTGCCACTTGTTGCCCCTAACAAAGCAACTTGAAGGTTTTAAACCAGTTTTTGAAGCTGTCACTACACTTAAATGTATAAAGTGCTTCTTAACTTTAAAAAGGTGGTGGTAGGCAGGAACCATATCTTTACACACAAATGAGAACATCTAGCAATACACTTCCTTTAAGGATATAAGTTGGATAGCATCTGTGTAATTTAGAAATTGAGTCATTGTTCGCTTATTATAGAGTCTTTATTATCAACACTAACTTGAACCATCTTCAAACATCAGAATGGGTAAACTGTCTATGACCATACCACCCTGAACACACCAGATCTCATCTGATCCTGGAAGCTGAGCATGGTCTGGCCTGGTTAATACTTGGATGGGAGAACAGGTAAACTGCCTTGCCTGGACTATTTCCAATGATGCCAAACAATAATTGTTGCCTCTTGTCTTTCTTAAACGAAGACTGCATCCATTTTACCAAACTAAGAAGTTTACAGTTAGTCCTCTGCTGAAGTCATACTATACACATCTACTTAATTAAAGATACATTTATTGAACAGAACAGGTCTTCTCCTGGTTTATGTGCTGTAGCCTTGCTTAGGAAAGGAATTATACCCTGTCTTTTAATTAGGGGTGGCTATTGACTGGAGCAAATGTTGTCAGGTTGTCCAAGAGTGGCCCAAGCATGAATCAATGAGTGACCATGAGTGAACTCATCAGTGAGGGTCACTCATCAGTGATGGTCACTCATCAGTGATGAGTGATGGTCACTCATCAGTGAGGGTACCCATGAATGCTTTACTAACTGTGGCAAGGATTGCTACTTCAATAGAATCAGTGCTCTTAAGAATTTATGCTCATTCTAAAAAATGTGTAAAGAATTTGCCATGATAGCAGAGCAAGTATGTAGAGTGGACCAGAGATGCTGTGAGCTAGAGAACACATAGACCTGGAGAGAAAGAAAAGAGCCCAGTCTTTGTCTAGAGTAGTGGCTTTTAAACTTGGACATGTGTCGGAATCACCCAGAGGCCTTGTTGAAACACAGATTGCTGGGCTTCACCCCCACAGTTTTTGATTCAGTACTTGGAGTGGGGCCTCAGAATTTGTATTTCTGAAAAGTTTCCAGGTGATGCTGCTGCTTCTGCTGGCTCAGGGATCACGTTTGAAAAAGGTTGGAAGTTGGACATAAGAAAGTGCTAGATGGAGCCATTTATTTAGAGGCTGGGACACAATACAAGCAAGATGTAGGAATACCATGCTAGATCTCAGGGAAGAAAATGAGACTGGAGATGTAGGAGGGAGAGCAATTGGTACATATTAAATGTGTTATACTTTGCCTCTTTGAAAAATCATTTAGAGACACAGTGAGAAGAGGAGAAACCAAGACAATAATATTAGTGAAGAGCAATGACAAAGGACATGGGAGGAGAATGAACACGGGAGAAAATAGAGATTACAACCCAAAATCAACACAGCTATGCTGGTTAAGCTACAGGCCTGGTTCTGAGCCTGCCAGCACTCAGGGAAGGTTGTCTGAGCTTTATGGCTACCATTGTGAGAAGGAAGAAAATATATCAGTTTCTCAAAAGAACATCAAGTTTTCCAAGGACTAAACTCTCAGCAGAATGGCTTACTTGGAAAATTACATAGGGAACATGAGTAAAACTGGGTTATGAACAATAACATCATTCAGATAAAAAATTTATGTGGTTGTCTTTTATAAGACACTTTTTCATTCCATTAATGTTTGCTCATTGATAATAAAGATTATCAATACATTTAGCTTTGGCATTTTTATGATAGTATTCATGTATGGTAATATGTAAATGCTCCATTAAAACAAAAACAAACAAAAAATCAGATTTATTCTGTTCTTCATTTCTAACTCTCACTTGATTCTGGTCCTTACCAAATGATATGATTTGGCTGTGTCCCCACCCAAATCTCATCTTGAACTGTAGCTTCCATAAATGCCGTGTGTTGTGGGAGGGACCCAGTGGGAGATAATTGAATCATGGGGGCAGATTCCCCCATACTGCTCTCATGGTAGTGAATAAGACTGACAAGAGCTGATGGTTTTATCAGGGGTTTCTGCTTTCACTTGGCTCTCATTCTTCTCTCTTGTCTGCCACCATGTAAGACATGCCTTTCACCTTCTGCCATGATTGTGAGGCCTCCCCAGCCACATAGAACCATAATATGAGTCCATTAAACCTCTTTTTCTTTATAAATTAGCCAATCTCAGGTGTGTATTACCAACAGCATGAAAATGGACTAATATACTAACTCACACACTAATGCTATGGCCACTTACCTGAGCATACTGCCTTCAGACTCCTCCTGCCAAGATAATTTATGTATCACTTCAAGAATCTTCTTATTAAACAAATACTTTGATAACTAATGCTTTCTGACCACTTGCTTGCTCAAAAGCTTTCCATGAAACTCTTTTGCTTGTAGAATGATGTACTAACTCCACAGTCTCTACTCAAAGCTTTCGTAATATGTCCTCAACATGCTATTTTGGTCTTATCACTCATGACTGCAGGAAGGAACAATTTATTCTAACATAACTAAAACATTTCTTTACCCTAAAAATGTTCTGTACACCTTTAACTTTTACCCCTGAATTCTTATCATTCTTTCATCTGAAATGTCCAATACCCCCATCAAAATTCTATCAATACTCCTGTCTTCCCCATGTGCCATTCCTGACAACTCTTACTGCAAAATAGTTCTTCCGCCTCTGGAATTCTTATAGTAGTGTTATACGAAGGAACCTTGTCTGGCTAATCAGTCTAAAAATTCCTTGAGAACAAAGAGTGTGTCTTAAAGCCTCTTTTTATTCTTCATAGCCTATAGTGTGGCACCTTGGAATGTGGTAAATGTAGTAAACACTTAAGTATTTGATGTGAGATTCATGGTATAAAAGAGAAGATGGTTAATTGCACCTCTAGCCACACAAATTATTTTATTGGATATTTTCAGCTATAATGATTGTCATTCAGTAAAGTAGCAATGTGACGTGATCATTCATCCAACAAGCCAGCTTAGATAATTAAATTCAGTTATTTGTTTTTCTTTACTATGCATAGACCCTTCAGAGAAGTTACTTGAAATATTCTTAAAACCACTCAAGTACACACCAGTCTGCACATATTTTTTTTCACTTTTCTGTCACTAAATAAACATGTACCTGTATTTTTCTTAATTATAAGCTCCTTGACACCTGAGACAATGTCATAGTTTTATTTTTTGCCAGTGTATGCTCATATATCTTACTCATTTAAGATGCTTGATAAACATTTAATGACTTGAATTTATCTAATTTATGTGTATTTAATCCCTTTTAATTTATACCCTAGCAGGAAAACCTATATTAATCCCCTTCACTTAATATTATTTCAAAAGAAACAAAGAGTCAAAACTTTAAACCCAAATGCATTTATGGTTTAGGCACAATCATCACCTTGCTTAAATTCAGCAGACAGCTCAGTAATTTAATATAGTGCCGAGAAGAGGCAGTTTAAGAACAATTTAAGAAAAACACCTCAAGCTATATCTCAGCTTGCAGTTTAAATTTTCAAAGACTTTGGAAACGTATTTCCAAGGCCCAGTGGCAGCTACATATTTGTCATTTTCAAAATTTTGTTTTGCCAGAGGATAGCAAGGCCAGTTCCAGAAAAAGGAATTCAGTTCGGGCTTCTTACAGTCAAGTCCCATCACATAACAACATTGTTCTTTAGGTACTGGAAGATAAGACAATAAAGTATCTTTAGGTACTGGAAGATAAGACAATAAAGTATCTTCTAAGAAAAAGGAAAAATTATTTTATTTCAGGAAGGCAGTCTTTGAGTGATTCATGACTTCTCTAACAAAATTTAGCCTTCTTGTAAAGTCTTAAGAATTGTCTAAGCTACAGTTTTTAACTACTGTGTCCCTATGTGAATGACGTAGAGTGGAAATTGAGTAATATGACCTTGAGTTTTACGTGCTCTATGTCTCAAAGCATTTCAAAATAAATTTAGATTTTTTTAAAGCTATAAATATAGACAAGGGAAAGGAAATAAGCTTAAACATTTAGAAAAACAGGGCTTAGAAAATCCTAGGACTTTGTAGGGGCTACTCAATTGTACAAACATAGTGGGAGATGTTCCATATTCTAGAAGATAGCCTGACCTTTCCAAGTAGACATTTCTTAAAAGAAAATAAGCAATTAAAAAAAATGTTAGCTTCAGGTGCAGAGTTTCCTAGGAGCAAGCAATTTTATATGTGAAACCTAAATGTCAGCTGTGGACATGCCCCTTCCACAATTCAAAGCCTACTCCATAGTTCCTGCAAATTCTTTGGGCTTTCTTTCTCATATGTCCTTATGCCGCCATAAACCATTATTATTTTGTTCCGTATCTGTAAAGCTCCATAATATTTTAGATGCAAAACACAATCCTTTCATCATTTCCATGAAAATCCACTTACATCATGCAGCGTGTAAATGTTTTGATACTGTTGTTGCATCTCTTGAAGATTTAGAATGCTTGCAAGGAAGGGTCATATCCCAGAGAAAGGCCTTCCACCAGTTCTCAGACTTCCCTGTCTGAGCTCCTCCTCTCCTCCTCTCATGTTGCATCTCCTTCTCCGAATTAACAAGGAATATTTCCCTCTAAATTCCTCAGGGAGGTCCCAGCACCTCCAGACTTCTAGGAGACCCACTATACCCCCTCAAAAAACAAACAAACAAAAACCTTTACCCCACACCTTATCATTGTTTTAATCCCGACACAAATGCTAATCGCTTTCTAAAAAAAAAATCACAGCTGGGCACGGTGGCTCATGCTTGTAATCCCAACACTTTGGGAGGACGAGGTGGGTGGATCACCTGAGGTCAGGAGTTTGAGACCAGCCTGGCCAACATGGTGAAATGTCATCTCTACTAAAAATACAAAAATTAGCCGGGCGTGGTGGTGGGCATCTGTAATCCCAGGTACTCTGGAGGCTGAGGCAGGAGAATACTTTGAACCCCAGAGACGGAGGTTTTGGTGAGCTGAGATCGTGCCACTGCACTCCAGCCTGGGCGACAGAGTGAGACTCCATCTCAAAAATAAATAAATAAATAAATAAATCACATAGAAGCTATCAATACAAATATGTTTTCCATTCCCTTACACATATGTACTCTGTCATTTATATTCTGAATTACATTTCTGGTCACTTTGTTCTCCATGAAAAGAGAAGCCCAGAAAACTTCTGCCTTGCATAAAACTAAAACTTGGGTTAATGGCTTTAAATAGAAACCGTCCCATCCAGATGGGTAACAGGGTTGACCAGCTCCCACTGTGGTTTCCCGATGCAGTGAAGCCACATGGCTTAAAGCTGTGCTCCAACAGATCTATTGAGCTTATCTTTAGCCAGTGTTATTTTTCACCCCAACACTGTACTGTTCTCCAAACAACAGCTGTGTGTCTGCCTACTTCGTTTGCCCTCTGGATAAATCTAGCCTTTTAGAATTAGATTAGAGCAGGCCCAGCTGTAGTGGGTGGATAATCATCTGCTTTATGAGTGAGGGGAATTTGAAAAGCCTACATGTTTTCTCAAATATCATCTATGGAATGATACTATGATGTCTGACACATTGTTGATGGCTTTTCAGTATTCAAAGTAGGAATATCCATTAACACTGGAGCATAATTAGAGGATCTAGATGAAGAATTAGAAAGTGTAATTCTAAGAGAATGAGAATGCTGCCCTCCCAACTTCTCTCTACTTTCCTAAATTCTGGTAGAGTATAAGATTCTGTCCAAATACCTCCTACTCTAAGAGGTTTCCCCAGCCTTCACCAGCAGACGATAACTTTTCTTCCTCTGTAACCTGTGAGTATATGTCTTGCTAGAAGGAGTCATCCATTATAAATAAGAACTTTCTAACAATTAGAGCTGACCAGTGTTGGCACAAACTACCCCGGGTCTTAATGAACCCTCTGTTCCTGGAACAAATTAAACAAAGGTTTGACAAACAATTGCCCGCAATATGCTGGATAAGAATTGAACTTGATGATTTTTAAGTTCTCCTCTCATGCTGAGCTTCTAGGTACTGCGTTGTGTTTTCTGTTGAAATAAAATACAGCTGTTATGGAACACCTTTAATATTTACTTTTGCATGTCTTTTATAGAGAGAAGCCACTCATTTCTTTTCCATGTTTAGACCACCTTGTACAAAATAAGTGTTCAAGAAAATGGATGGATTGGACAATGCCAGATGATTTTTGAAGGGGTCTTAAGAAAGGGAAGGGAGGACAACCTGGAGACAATAAAGCAGATATACAGCAGTGCCATGAAGCACCAGATTTCCAGCATTTAGGACCCCAAGGAAGCATGGGATTTCACAGGGAGCTAGAGACACCCTACAACAACTTCATGTTTATTTTACCACTGGGCCTATCCATGTGCTAGAATTTTTGTTGCCACTGCTGAGAAGCATGCAAGACTTGCTCTTATTCTCTTCCTTCTTGTCATAATTCCTGCTTTCTTCCTCAAGGAAAGGATCATTTGCAGGAAACGTTAAAGAAACTTTAACAATTGTGGCAAATAGATCCGCAAATTCTGTAATTGCTCCATTTGAATGGGGAAGATTTACTAAATGCAGAATGAACCCTAACCACAGATAAAAACAAATGCATCCAACCCATAACTGGGTGCACAAATGTGCGGCATCTACTGGTGATTAAGAGCTTGGAGGTGGTTGTACTGCTTTTTCCCAAAAACTATAGTCTGTGGACCAAAAGTATTGGCATGACCTGGGGTCTCTAAAAATACAGAATCTCAAGTCTTGCCTCAAACCTACTGAACCAGAATCT